TGAACAAAGCGAACAAACGGCGACGAAGATCTGTGGGTAGTGGTAGTTATGCACAGTTTTCTACCGTAACAACGTTTACCAAAGACAGCGAGTTCTCTTTTTTTGTGAGAACAAGACAAAGTGAAGGACTGCTTGCTTTCTTGACATCAGGGAGTACTGATCATATCACTGTGGTATTATCTAGTGGATCGATTACTGTGCAGATAACCAAAGGTAAACAACCCTTGATAACAGTGATGATTGATATCATCACTACAGCAATCAGTAATCAACAATAGCTTGATTATAATGATTATGTGTTGACACTAGAGAAGAGGAAATTAGAAATTACGACCTCTAGAGTTAGAACCGGTATCATTTAGTTGATGATACTGGCTACACTAACGTGGTTTCAGACAACATGACCTTCATGTTGACATGCTGCATTAGATTATAATTGTATTTCATGATGATATCAAGAATGCCTGACCTTATATGCAGGGAAATTGGTCAATGATTTAGTTCCAGCTGTGTCATGTCAAGCTGATGATAAAAGTATTAATAATTTACTAATATGACATTCTTTCAATAATTTATAACCTGTTATATTATAAAATACCAGCAGGAGACTATGGGTATCCCGGCAAGGATTTTCACTACTTTTGAAACAGACCCAGCCATTGGTAGAAGAAGACGATTTTATATTGTTTACCAAATTCCAACATGAAGTATTAATGAATTGATGTTACAATATGATTGCTCATTGTTTTAAATCAATTGTGAAGGTAGCACAAAGAGCAATCGGACGTTTGGTGCCAACATCAATGACGGGAAAAACCACTTCATACTGGTCAGCGTTAACAAAACCCAAGTTGACAATAAATCTCACCCTGGCATTGATCTCTCTTCCTCGATATCTCTAAACACAACCTACCTTGGAGGTCTGAAGCAGTGGTCAATAGCTAGTGCAGACGTCGTCATAGCAACTGAAGGATTACGTGGATGTCTTCAAGATACCAGGCTTAACAAGAAGTTGTTCGAGTTTTCTAAAACCCCGACATCTCAAGGAAGCTATACGTTGGTTGACAGCTTGCTATCAGGTGAATATATACAGTGATGTGATGAGAGTTTTTGTCTCGCAGATATAGGTCATATAGGTATTTATCTGAAATATGACACTTGATTGGCAAAACCAATAGGGTAACTCATTATCGGATGTTCAAACATTTTTTCGGTGTGATGCCAAAACAATACTCGTGCAATTTTGCAGCCAATCAACTTCTTCATAGTCAAACCGCAAAACAAGGTTGGAGTTCRCACTTGTGAAACTATTAAACACGACTCTGTCTACTACGCTTGTGAATAAAAGTTAAATTAAAGTTTATGGGTGAACGTTCGAGCAAATTGCTCATCCTCAGGGCTGTACCTCGAGCCGATTTCCTTAGAATAATTCCTGAAAATTCAAAGGGCATAAATCGTAATCATTCAGCTAACAATAAGTCATTCCTCTCCCACCCCCCCGGGGAGGGGACTCCCTTATAAAAAAGGGCGGGGGTCCTCGTCGGAAATTATGACAATGACCCCTAAAAGGGACCTGTATTGTGAGATGGGCGTGGCAAGAGGGACCAATCAATAAACGATTATTTTGTTTTCGTTTTCCGATTTTATTTGTGTTTTTGCACAAGCATCAAACGCCGTTGGCTCGTATTGAGTTTATGACGACGTTGTTATATACAAATATATGACGACGGCTTAAACTTTATTGGTGGGAACTCTTGTCATTATAACCCTAAGCGGGACCAAAACACTGATTTCAAACCCTAAAAGGGACAATGAGGACCCCCGTCCTTTTATATTAAAGAGTTTACCCTTTTCCTTGCCTTGTGAAATGTTAGTTATCTTTCCCTCCACTCCTCTGATGTGTCTGTCCATGACGCCATTTGCTCTCTTAAATTGATTTTTCTTACATCATAGATATTCCCGGTAAATATTTATATTATTACTTGTCACAGGYCAAGGGTGCCCCGGGGAAAATGTCTGCAGTCAAAACCCTTGTAGTAATGGAGGAACATGCAAGGATACTTGGAATGACTTCAGCTGCGCCTGTAAACGTCTGTACGGTGGGAAGAACTGCTCTCTTTATGGCTGTGCACTGGCTAAGCCTTGTGGGTCTGGTGGTCAGTGTCTCGATGTGGAGAATGGGAAATACGAATGTAAGTGAACCATTCCCCTACAAAATAAAGTCCATCTTTACGGGGCAAACATGACATGTGAGAAAAGACAACCCCCTCCCCCCACCCCTCCCCAGGATAGGGGGTAGGATAAGTCTTGTTTTCATATTCCTTGGAACGCAAACAAGGAATGCATTTCTAAGGCCCACTTTCATGTAGACTGTAGAACTACTGATGGAATCATTTGTTTACTTTGCAATTTATTGACAGAATTGTATGCGTTATACAGACATATTTTGCTATTTTGTCAATAATTCACTTTCACAACAATTGATCAGGAATTTAGTGGTATATCTTATCATTGAGAATGTACTCCCGATGATTTCTTGTCGTTTTGATTTTCAGGTATCTATCCAGCAACATTCAATGCCAGCCTGAGTGAAGCACAGTTCAACTACACTCCAAACAATAATTATTCCCTGAAGCAAGAATTGTCGTTTAAAATCAGGACCCGTCAATCAAGTACAGTTGTGTTATCTATCGGTGGTGGCTTAGTGGTYCGTATAGATAACATGAYGTTGAATATCACTTGTACGATATGTCAGGCTCCAGGGACATACTTATCAGGTAAGACTAGCCTGTTATACGTTAGATATTACAATAGTTGTAAGGCATTGAGAACTTCAATTGACCGAGTACATTCAACTCTTGATCGGAAATCTGTCCAATACAAAGATAAAGTAGCAAAATATACACAAATTGGAAACAAATGCCGGTAACAAAACCAGGTCTCAAGGAAAGTGCCTGACGAGTAAAGATATACCGAAACTGCACTGCTGACTGCGGATAATTACTGTTTGCAGACAATATTTTTTACCGTTCTGATCATTATTAACCTAGTTGTTTTATTGATTCCAGGAAAAGTAATTAGCAATGGTGACTGGCACAGTGTTCATTTGAATTCTTCCGATAAAATCTACCTCACAATTGATGGGAAAACTGAGTTTTTTACTGGAAACTTGACATCAAAATCGCTACAAGATTTACTTCTGATACGACCAGTTACAATTGGAAAAAGCACGTCCATTGCGTTTAAAGGTTGTCTTGACAACCTTAGAGTTGGTAGGGCCTTGTTGCCATTCAAAACATACTACAACTCTAGCTTCAATGTTAATGGTGTAACACCTCTCAAGCCTCACTTTGATGCCACCCTGCGCGATGTAAATGATGGTTGCCATAGTGACGATGTATGTAACCCACAGCCGTGTCTGCGTGGTAATTGTTCAGACATTTGGAATGCATTTAAGTGCGYATGTCCTAWGGGATATGCMGGTYCYRTATGTAACAACACAGCGAACATGACATGYGCACACCGGCCATGTTTTAACAATGCAACGTGCTCTAATAACGCCACGGCACACGTAACTAGTAGCAACCAAGTGAGTGACTATGGAAAGGACAGGTTTGTGTGCCATTGTCTTCCTGGATTCCAAGGTCGGCAATGTAAAGAGGTAACTGATGAGTGCACCCCGTCGCCTTGTAAAAATGGCGGCAATTGTACAGATCTCCACTTGAACTACACATGCTCWTGTCYGAAAGGATTCACAGGTCGACAATGCGAAATAAACATCGATGACTGTGTAAATCATAATTGTACWAATAACGCCASGTGTGTGGATGGTGTAGATAAGTACTCYTGTWACTGCASTCAAGGATTTAACGGTACATACTGYGAGAAAGAYATCAATGAATGTGCAGCTGGCGCTTGTTTKCCWTATGGTAATTGTACAAAYACTARAGGCTCCTACAACTGTAGTTGTAAAACGGGATAYTATGGAAGAAATTGTCAATACAACGCTACACAGTGGTGCTCAGTAGGAAATCCATGTGGTAGTCATGGTAACTGTAGCGGAAACACTACAGGGTTCTACTGTGCTTGYCACCCRGGATGGGARGGRCMGACATGTGCTGAGGACATCCAGGAATGCAAAAGCAATCCGTGCAAAAACAATGGTACATGTCAAGATAGTCAGCCAGGGGGAAGGTTCTTCCCGGGTTATAACTGCTCCTGTACAGTGGATTATGAAGGCATAAACTGTCACATCTACGTGAATCCATGTARCGATACACCTTGTGAAAATAACGCAACGTGCTCTAGAGTCACTTACAATAAGTATAAGTGCAATTGTACAGAAGGGTTTGGAAATATGAATTGCAGTGGATTGACCAAGTTTTGTGCTCCAAAGCCATGTGAAAATGGCGGTACTTGCGTTCCTTTGAAAGACGACTTTAAGTGTGTCTGTGAGGCTGGTTACAAAGGCAAAACATGTGCCGAACTGAAGAACAAATGCGACTCGAATCCATGCCAGCACAGTGGAACATGCACTGTAACACCATCGGGCTATCAGTGTTCGTGTACTAAAGCATTCAATGGTACCAACTGTCAAAATGCTATTGACTTCTGCAAGAATAATAAGGAATGTCTTCACGGTAGTGTTTGTGTTTCAAGTTCTGAAAATGCTAACTATACCTGTAACTGTACTGATAACTACTTCGGCAAACACTGTGAGAAAGCAAGAGTCGTCCAGCCACCGGGAAAACGAGAAGCATCAGAACCAGTCTCACTTATTATAGGAGTCGTCGCGGCTTGCATACTGTTCATACTTCTAGTGATACTAATCATATACCTTTTCAAGAGAAGATCTGCTGAAGGCACGTACAGCCCAAGCAAGCAGGAAATGGATGGCGGTAGAGTGGAGTTGAACTCTGTTCTCAAGCCACCAAACCAGGAACGTCTTATTTAGATTAGAATAATAGTTAGATATTTTTAATTGAAATCCCCTTTCCTCGTATCTTAAAGTTTTAAGGTAAACCACGTGACATCATATCATTTATGCAGATCATTTTCAAGTGATAATTATTACATAATCCAAATCATTGTCACGTGAATTGTGGCAATGCTCGATCACGTGACAACCCATGCATTTTGATATATTATGCCATGTGGTTCAAGACAATCAATGAGTAAAACTCATTGCTAATGAAGAGTTCGAAGTGTCAATAATTGTACATGTCGTAAGTCAAAGCGTCCCAGAGTCATCTTTTTTCCTCGCTGCTTTAACCTGTGACATTATAAACTGAATTCATTAGAGTGTAGGCGGTTAAGTCCGAAAATACGATCATATTGAGGCAACTTGACTTAAGCAGTGTGCAAATTCAGCGGACATCAAATTTCAGAAATTACAAAGATTCCATTCCTATTTTTTCAAAGGAACTTTGCTTACAATAATTTGAGTTTAACAGTAAGTTTATCGGAAACCGTGACGAAAGATCGTAAAGGACACCGGTGTTTTGAGGTATTTAACAATTGGGGATATTTAAACCGTAAGCTAAGGACAATTTTTTAATTAATAGAAGTTTTGTTTGGCATTTGATCTTCATTTTTGATAAGTTTTCTTTAGACCCCTATGATGGACAATCCATTTATAACGATCTACAGTGGTGCCCTGCCGTACAACCATCCACTTAGTACGGTCACCGGGTGAATTAAACCCGTGTACATTTTCCAGCTAATACGGCTACTTTTCGATGTCCTTTCGGTGGCCGATTTAACGAGGTTTCACTGTATTCTGACGTAACTGATTGTTGGTCAAAGGACGKACTTTATCATTGATGTATTATAATTCCATGCAAAAGTGTGAAAATTTATTTTATAAGGAGTATACAATATATGCTGTACATATTCATTAATTTTTAAAATGAGATAGTGGAATAAATGCAAATAATCGTACCAACTTAATTTATGATGTAATTTTGATACAAATTCTTCRCTAAAGGCATATATAATGTCCTTATTATCATCCTCAATCGCGAGAAAACGCGTTTTTGTATTGTACTAGTTTCCTTAACTGAACGTATTTTTGGATGATCGGGACGATTATTTGGACTGTAGACCTAATCGTACGTGTTTAATGTGATCGTACACCAGAAAGTGTTTCAGAGTCAATTTGGGGGAAACGAATTTAAACGAAATAACGAATTACTTAGACAACAAGAGCCGTTTATAGAAAGGATGAATCCAAAGGAAAGATCACCATCTTCACTACTTCAACCTAACAATACCATCACTACAAAAACCATCACTACCTCAACCACCAACACTACCATCACCACAATC